ATACAAAAGCTTAGAAGACGTGTAGGTTCACTGGTCATTTTTGATAGTAATTGAAAAATATTTGTATTGAAGACATTGTCTTTGGAACTAGTTTGATTTTAACTGCAATTTAGCTTGCTGGTTTTTCTCTTTTAATATGTTAAATCTTTTGTGGAAATTAGTCTCTTTCCTTAATTTGAAACTGAAATGCAGTCATTTTTGACTTTTTTTTTTAGGCTAGACAATAGAAGTGTCTCACTACAGGAATCCCCACATGTAACTGAAGCATGCTTACCCTGTCTTCAGAATGGGTGATCATTTGATATCAAATCAAATAATGATTTTTTTTTTCCATCCCTAAGTATGCAGCCCTGATGAGAATTAATAGAATTCAATTACATTGAGTTACCAACAGTATTACTTGGCCTTTATCCTCAGTATCTATCAGCTCTTATTACATTTCCATGTTGTTTCTTGCCATTTCTTGCACCTGTAGCTCAATAATGGCTAATACATTATACAGAAAATGCTTGCCTTGTCTTTTTGCTGGAATCAGACGCACACAAATGAGTCAGTGAAATGTAGTTTCCAAGAAAAAGAGCCCTTTCAATGAATGGGGACTGCATGCAGAGAGAGAGGGAGAGAGAGGATGACAAGTCTACAATAGAGTATGCTCTGTGTCCTTCCTGGGTCAAAGTGCAGATTACGCCCTGTGTGACATTCTGGCTTGGCGTGTGTCCTGTCCGTCAAGCTCTGTTGTCACAGATACGCATGTCTTGCGACATACAGGACATGTGGGGCCGCTATAAATAAAGCCATTTATTCATAGGTTGAGATGCTGGTCCACATTTATTACACTTCTGGTAATAATGGGCCAGTTTTGCTTTTGTTCTTTGCGTCCTGTGGAATACGATTGCAGATAACACCAATCTGATACTCTGATATCTGATATCAGTATCGGGCTGTATCGCTGGATCATATATAGAATTGTATAAAAAAAACTCCCACTGTAAAAAGTCTAGCCTGAAATAGTGCTGGGCGATATACTATCTGTACCAGTATGCTGTGGTAGACACACCATGATGTTGATTTTCAGTGTTAAACATGTTGATGCTGTATTGTAAAAGTTTTGTTTTCTGTCTGCGTGACCTTTACAGTTCTGTGTGGAGCTCTTTTTGGTGTAAATATAAGAGAAGAAGATAAAACGAAGCAGTTTAGTCAGAACCTGATATAGCTTTCAGCTTTGTAATACAGTTTTTAGTAGTAGTACTTGGAAAGCATGGGTTCATTTACCTCATTAATGCAAACCTAAAAGTCATTTAATAGTCATACCATAAGACACTATCCTGAAATATGATCCTAGATTAGTGTTTCTGAGATGCTTCATACGTCAGATATGGATCATTGTGAGACACACTGAGAGTTTACTTGGAAAACTGTTAGTAGGAGTGAAGTCTGAAATATAACCTAGCCTCTGTGCAGTACTATGCAAACGTCAGAGACCACTATTCATTTATTTAATTTCGTCACAACGGCCATTAAGTACAAGTTATTAGTCTCTCAGGAGATATTTCTGGGGATATTCAAGATAATCCATTTCCATGAGGAAGGGGAAAGCGAAAGGAAAATAAGTGAAAAGAACAGTTTCCAAAACAGAGTTCACCAAAGGCCACCAAAACTGTTACCATCAGATAAACGGTACTTCAAGCTTTCATCTTTGAGAGACAGGAGAAGCTCCACTCTTGCTTCAGATGTGAGAAGACATCTAAATACTATGGGTCTGAAAGGATGTGTCGATGCCAATAAGCCATTACTAAGAAAAGAAAATAGACAAAAAAGAAGAAAATTCACAAAAGCTACTGGTATTTTCAGAACAATGTACTGAAGTCCGGACCTCAACATCACTGAGATAGAGATTGATGGTATGCTGCTGTGCCTGGACTCTAACTTTTAAATGTAACAGTAACAGTGTGCTACTACTATACAGTACTGTGCAAAAGTTAGAGGCACTCTTCTTTTATTTAATTTAAAATCAAAACAGTAGCAGAAAAAAAAAGCTTTTTTCAGAGGATATTTCTGAGGAGCTGTTAGATAATCCACTTGCATAAGGAAGGGAAAAGCAAAAAGGAAAAACAGGAGTTTCTAAAACTGGAGTGAAATTATTGAAAAATAAAGAAAATATAAGACTCCTAGCAACTGTGCAAGACCTGGTAGACCACCATCTCAGATAAACAGTACTTTTATCTTTGAGAGAAAATCAAGCTCCGCTCTTGCTTCAGATCTGAAAAAAATTACACTAAATAATGAAAAGGATGATATTATATTTAGTTGTTGAAGTTTTTTCTGTGATTTTCCTATTAAATATATGTTTTTTCCCTTATGCTGAAGAAAGAATAACTCGTGTGTGTTGCCGTGCTCTCTGACTGGTGTTATTAATAAGGCTGGTCACTATGTAGTGGTAACAGGCTGAATCATGCACTTGTGTATGAATGTGTTTCCCAGCTTGATGTGCTTGACTTTTCACCCCTGAACAGCTTTTGTGTAGCTGTTTGCTTCCAGTTGTTTACTATTGTACAATTATTTACTATTTTTGCCTATCTTACTTCTTTGTTTACACTTTCCCCCTTCTCTCCCTTCATCTGATTGTCTGGTGGAACGTGCTCTCCCTCTTGCTCACTTTCCCTCTTTGGTTGATATGGAGAGATCAGCATTGTTTGCGCACTATAATACTTCCTTTGTTGACCTGGTGCCAGAGTTGTAGTCTAGGTGGATTCCCTGGTGGCTTGTTTGTAGACAGCCAAAATCTTCTTCGGTCAAGGCCACCATAAAAGCACTCCAATAAAGGAGAGAGAAAGAGAGAAGAGGAGAGCGCGTGAGAGAGAGAGAGAGAGAGTGATGGAGACGGAGAGACTGAGAGACCCAGAGACCTGCCTGGATGTTTGCTTTAATCTGTCTTATCAGTCTCCTGGGACTCCGGCCTTGAAAGATAGGAACAGATGGCATGTTAACCACGCCCACACCAGGGAGAAAAAAAAGCTTGATTTGTTACTTCAGTGACGAAAGCAGGCGGGTTTGCCATTTAGGTTGTGGTCTTTAGTCTGGTGAATGTCATGAATAAAGTAAAAGCACGTACTTTTGTATGTATGTATGTAAAGGCCATTTACCAATGGATGACATTGCATTTAAAGTAAAAAGTTCACTAGAAATCTGTAGAAGTCACAAATGCTGTACTCAATGTATGTTACCTGTATAGTGAACTTTCTGGGAGTTGTTTTGGTCAGCCACATGCTTTCTTAGTCTCTGTTGACATTTTGTTGTCAGCAGGTTATGTGGTGACTGCTAATAGCAACATCATACTTCAGCAATACAAGGGTTGTTGCGGTTGCAGGCCTGCAGTGTCTCTTTGCAGGACGTTTTTGGGTAACACTGACCAATAGTGGTTAATGCATGAAGTCAACAGCTTCATGCTTTTTTTTTTTTCTTGCATTCATTTTATTTTTTTTTCAGTTTTTTTCCTGCCCCACATAATAGCATGTGTTATGTACTATATCATGGTTGTATCACGGCTGTGTCTTGCTTTAGGATAATAATGATCTTGAGCACATCAGCTTCAGACTGTCAGTATCAAAATATGTGTCATTTTTAATACCACATCAGATGCTTTAATTATTGATTTAGGAATGTGAGCAATCTTCAGTTACAGTTGTTGTGCTGAATCGTTTAAGTATAGATTTTTCATTGGAATTTAAACTTCTGTCCCACTGCTAGAGGCAACCATTAGGAGTCTCTTGGCTGAATCTTGACAGACCGACATGTAGCAGTTTCAGGCTGACAGCTGCAAACTATGAAGTTTGTTGGCCCTGCCCTAACCTATGATTAATAGCTAATATTAGTATTTCATGGAAGAGAACTGCTTAGATTTATAGCAGATTAGCTAACATAACTTTTGTAGTGTAGGTCTTATGAAGTGGGTTGTTGATCTTGGACAGTGGCAGCCAAGTTTTATTTGGCTGGCTAGCTATCAGATGTTATTGTACAGGCTAGTCATAGTTACCTAGCTTAGCTGGTTAGCTAAACATTTATAGTAATCCAGTGCAAACATTATCATTTATCCATTACAGTGTAATTGTAACTTGCCTGTGTAATACGTGCTGTACAGTTTTTCATTGGTCTGTCTTGTGATCCTATTTGCCATTACCTGTCAAGCTAGCTAGACAGTTTACAGAACAGAACATTTTCTGAGAGGCTTGTCTTCAGTCCTGGCTGTGATAAATTCAATAATGATGAAAGTATTGGTAGTTCAGTCACTACTGAAGCTAAAAACACAAAACTTAAAAAGGACATTTTTGATAACTGCAAGGAAGATTGATGACAATGCAATTTGCGTATGTGATCATAATGAGGAATAACATTGGCTGTTTTTAACAAAGGTGGTGATATTAATAGCACCAGCCTGATCAATAACTCGATGTGGTCCCAAGGTTCACCTTGATAAATGCTTCTTATGTGTCAGTAATACTTTTCAAAATAAGACTAGGGCATTCCAAAACAGCCTTTTCTGCTTATTTGTGAAGCATTGAGACGTACTATGTAGTTAAATGATATCAATATATTGCTCAAGATTAAACTTTATCATGGTTTAGAATGCTTGTAAATAAGTCAACTGCAGAAATTCAGTCAAGAGATTTTTTCTCAAATGCAATTATTAATTCCCCAGACAGAGAGACAGAGAGATTATGATCTTGTGGCTTAATTGGTAGTTAACAAAAATGTTTTTTTCCGTTTTTTGAAATGGTTGTACAACGTTAAAAGAGGTGATCAAGTTGCATGCTGTATATTCAACGTTTAATATGCCCAGAAGTTGTATGACATTTTCTTTATTAATCGTTTATTGGTATAAGAATTCAACGCGGCCAGTTGATAGTTGATGAAAAGGTTGTGAAAGACTTAAGGCATATAATCTTTTTTGAAAATCACTATCCCCACCATCATCACATAGCAATTTTTGCTTCTCTTTTTAGATCTGGAGCCAGATGACAACACATCGTTCTACATCCTGAATGCTGGTCAGCCTCCATTAGTGACCAACCAGTCCCTTGGCATCCAGAGGCATGGAGTCCAGCCGCACTCACAGCTCACTGCCACCTCTCCTCCCCTGCAGCCGCTCCTTAAACCCTATGAGCCTAGCTACGAGTCCCAGGGCTCCAAGTACCCCCCTACTGGAGGGGGAGGGGTGGGGGGAGGTGGAGGCGGAGGGGGCCCGCCCAAGGCCTTTGAATGCCCCAGCATCCAGATCACCTCCATTTCTCCAAGCTGCCAGCAAGAGATGGACGCGAGCGAGGACGAAATGAGGGCCAAGGGTCCGGACGGGGATTACCACGACAGACCCCTGTCTCGGGATCACCTATACCTGCCACTGGATCACTCGTACCGGGATTCGTCACTGAGCCCCAGCCCTTGTAGCAGCCTGTCGTCCCGCAGCTGGTTCTCAGACGCCTCATCCTGCGAGTCTATCTCGCACGTGTACGATGATGTGGATTCAGAACTTAACGAAGCGGCGGCACGGTTCACACTCGGTTCACCTCTGACCTCGCCAGGCTGTTCGCCCCAGGGTGGCCCACTGGAGGAACCATGGCATCAGCAGCAGCAGCAGCAGCATCATCACCACCCAGCCTTTGCTCACTCGCTCTCTCACCCGCATGCCCACTCCCTCTCACCCCGTGGGTCACCCTGCCACTCGCCGCGTACCAGCGTGACCGATGAGAACTGGCTCAGCCCTCGCCCACCCTCGCGCCCCTCTTCTCGGCCCACGTCGCCCTGCGGCAAGCGACGCCACTCCAGCGCTGATATCTGCTACCCGGGCTCGCCCCATCACTCACCGACTCCCACACCTGGACCCTCGCCCCGAGGCAGCGTCACTGAGGACACGTGGATCGGGAGTCCCTCCATGGGCATGTCACCCTTCCAGTGCTGCCCTGCGGATACTGACATCCCCTCTAAGACCAGGAAGACGTCCCAGGACCGCACAGCCGTGATGCAGCCCGGGAAGGGTGAGCTTGGTCTGGACGATTCGGGGAATGTGTCCCCACTGCTGGACTCACCGGCTGAGGAAGCCATGCACGGTTTGAAGAAGGATGGACCTGGGGAACAGTTTCTGTCTGTGCCCTCTCACTTCACCTGGAACAAACCCAAACCAGGACACACACCTATATTCAGGTAAAAAAAACAAAACACCAGAGACAAAGTCGATTGTTAGTTATTTGTAGCGGTGCACCGATGTGAGTATTGTGGTTTGATGTCATTATTCGACATCTGTGGTGTATATAATTGCCAATGCCCATAGTGATGCTGGTGCATCAGTGTTCATAAAATGTAAAAAATTGGCTCTAGATCCACCTGAATTATTCTGACACTTGTAGATGGTTGCAAGTGCAGTAAAATGAATAAAATGCATAAAATGCCCAGCATCGCCATAAAGTTCTGCTCTTCTGGAATACAATAAAAATGTTATCTCTATAAAATATCAGCCAAATATTGGTGAGTTGAAGGATGTTCTACATAGTGCAGCTTAAGTGCAGTTTAGTTTCATGTAAGTTTCACATAACAAAAGTTGCATGAACGTTTCACCATGTAAAACCAGTCTTAAAGTTAAACAGGTGAAAATGAACATCTCGCTGTACCTCTGACATAACACAAGTTCTCAGGCTGTTTTCAGGTTCAGACCACAATTTCAGGCCTGATCACGGCTGTAATCTGTGTTTGTCTGTTGTGGGGTGCAGTGGTGGAAAGAATGGCTTCTGTAACCGTAAATTAAGTAAGATTCCTTAGAGGTGTTGGCCTCACAGTACTACACACTCTCTCTGTCGCACAAACACACCCTCTTTTACAGCCATGTCTGTGAGCGTGCTGTCAGCTCCTCTACCCAAACAGGCCATGAAAGCTTCAGTCAGCCGAGCACGCTGTGTCTGTTCTTCTTAACCCCCGTCACAGTCATACTCACACAGCAGTGACATGATACATGATCTGGCCATCTGATCCTGCGGCCTCGGCAACCAGACCTGCTCCTGCTGCTAGTTTGTGTGTGTGTGTGTGTGTGTGTGTGTGTGTGTGTGTGTGTGTGTGTGTGTGTGATATAGAAAGCTCTGGAAGCCTAGTTTTCTGAGCAGATGGTCCATGTGGAAGTGTTGGCAGGGAGCTGTGGTGTGGAGATATCTGGGGAAACATGGCTTAGCGGAGCACATCTTCACACTGTGACAAAACCTTATTTCAGACACATACAGCACTCTATGAAAATCAGTACAGATACCAATTATGAGGAGCTAAAATTTTTAATAACCGGTAGTATTAGTGTATATATATATATTTTATATTGTCCTCAATGAAACAGACCCCACTAGTTTCATATGAAAAGTCCTTTACTGACTGATAGGTTGTCACATATTATTAGTCAATTCTAATACTTCTTAAATGAACAGCAGAAACACTTAACCATAAAGTAAATAGATATTGGAGTGCAAAATGGGGGAGCAATCCATAATTATTAGCAATTTTATTGCACTATAAAAAAAACGTTTTTTTTTTTTTACTTAAATAATACATAACCTGGTTTCCATCGCAGGGCTGTTAGAAGTTCAGTTAATTTAAAATTTAAGGCAACCAGGGTGCTTACTTTAAGTAAAACCATTTAATAGCTTGTCTTTTCCATATTTGTCATTATTTCTTTTTATCTAAAGATACATTTTTGTGTTATGTTGTGCAAAATGTTAGTTTGGGATGCATTTTACTCGTGTTTTGTTATTTTAACCATAGTGGCTTTTGTATTCAAATTTACAAATTGAGCCTATGTTGCTGTGAAGGTAGGCAATTGATTGTTTGTAAAATAATGATTGACACGCCTTTCAGCCAATCACTACTGTCTCTAGAGGCAATTTCTTCCATAAAGCAAATCTAAAGGTGGGCAATATAGCCAAGATATGGCATTATGAAACTTCAACACATGGTTATGATACACCATATTTATCACAATATTTAGTTTTTTTCTGAGGTTTGGTAAGTTGGAACTGGCAAAAAGGTGGGAGAGCCATATTTAAAAAATATAGTAGAATTATTTATGTTCAGTGTTTCACATCCACATCTGCAGTTAATCCTATTTAACAGGCCTAATTCTGCTCTCTTTGTAAGGAAGCATGCAGTTGGCCAGTATCCTTTAAGTACTGAATAATTACGATACACTTAGAAAAGCATTTTGTGAAGTAATTTATCAGAACGTTCTGTTCCTTATAATAAAAAGTACAGATATATCTGTGGAACCCAAATATCAGATTATGCAATTAAATTAAGTTAAATTTAAATCAGTCTTTATTGTCCCCCAAGAGGGAAATATGCAATAAATACACAAAATAAATACCACCAGCTTTAAAGAACACAACACTCGCACCGTATGTGGTGTTGTGGGTAACACATTCAAATAATCTGATTACAATATAAATCATATTACTGTTAGTGAGTTAATAACACTTTTGTTATTCTAAGAGAACAATATTAGTTGCATGCAATGCAATTATATAGTAAATTTCCTCTGTGTAGATGATGCGTGACTAGCTTACGTGTCTTTGCATGTGCTGCCTGCCACAGCTAAGTGTATGACTTGTGAATGTAATCAGCACGGTGCGAGTGTGGGAAGTGCCATAAGCTCAGCAAGAAATCTCTCGAAGCATCTAAATCTGCTAATATGAAACTGATGGATAAACTGATGAAGAAGCTCCCACAACCTCACCTGACCCAACTTGATTTCCTTTCAGAAACAGCTCTGTAATCTTCATATACCCCTGTTTTTAACTGTATGATGACTATTAATTACACTTCTTGTAATGTTTTATTTCCTTGTGTAACAGAAATAGATCTGTAGTCTTTGCGTTTTATTGAATGGCATCTGTTTTGGAACAGTTTCTGCTGACTAGTTTCAGGGCTAAGAGCAGTAGCTGTTCAATTTAAATCAAGTATGACTGGCTGTGTCTTGTTCAGAGCAGAGGCATGGACATTGAGATGCATTTTAAACGATGTTTACCGTCATTAGCTTTTTATATTTAAATAAATTACTGAAAGAGGTACTGGGTTTTCCCTTGTACAGATGTGTGTGGGTGTGAGAGTACAGCAAAGGTAAAGTAATGAGTAGTGAGAGTACTTTTTCCAGAGTGAAGTAATTAGTAATTTGTATTGGATTATAGTGCTGCACATATACATATGTATGTGTGAGTGTGTTTGTGTGTGTGTGTGTGTGTGTTGGGGGGGCGGGGCTGTAATGTGTTATCTTCAGTTGCAGCAGAGAGATACTAGCTTACAGAGGTTTAGTTTTAGCTGGACAGCAGAAAGCCTTGATGTGCAGTGGGAGTGTACGATATGACCGCTGGACAGAAAGGAGAGGAGATTTGTAGGCCACGGGACAAACTGTCACACTGTTATCAGGCCTTGGATTCCCTCGACAACCAAACTGGCTTCAGTTACCATGACAGCAGGGCACACATGTCCTATCCCATGCCTTCTCAGGGGAGAGGGAGAGATGGAGTGAGAGTTTGGGGAAAGAGCTGGAAGGAAGGAAATAGGAGGGTTGAGGAAGAAGAGAGGAACAACCAGAAAGCTTTGTTTAGTTGATTTTTTGTTCTGCACAGTTATAAGCACACTGTGTTTGTGTTGGTTATGTTACAGATGTGCTCTCCCTGGACTTTAAGACCTACTTATGTCCTGAGTATATGACAGTTTTGTTGTCTGAGTATGTAATCGGTTATACAATTTCTTATCCCTATGTTTATAGCTATTAATAACAATTCTGCTAACTTAAGTTTTCACTGCTTATTGTGTTTCTGTTCGCTAAGTTTATAACTGCTTACAACAGTTCTACTCTCTTGATTTTTACTGCTTATATCATTTCTGTTTGCTGAATTTATTAGTGCCTATAAAAATTCTACTCTCGAGTTCCTAGTGCTTATTGCGTTTCTGTTCATTGAGTTCATATCTGCTTATAACAGTTCTACTCTCTTGAATTCTTACTGTTTAGTCTTTCTGTTCAGTGAATTTATAACTGCTCATAACAGTTGTGCTGTCTTGAGTTCTTACTGCTCATAGCATTTCTGTTCAATGAGTTTTATAATGGTTCATAACAGGTCTCTCCTGAATTCACATACTGTCCTTCTCCTTTAATCCGCAGTGCTGTGGCTGTAATTCCATGCAGAAGTACGAAGCCTGTCATGCCTTCAAAATGACATGGACACAAAGCCCTCATTGACCAAAATGTCAGAAACATGTGCCACTTTTTTCTTCTTTCCTCCTCCCTGCTTTTTTCCTTCTCTCTCAATGTAAATGTCAACCCTTTTATTCATCGTTCCATTTTCCAGTGCATTTTAAGCCAGCGCAGTGACAGAGGCAGATCACTTAGGAAGCGACTTCTGACATCCTTAGAATTTGGAAAGTTGGAGAAAGCGAGAGAAACTTATTACATGACTTAGTCCTGTTTTACTAGTGCATGTCATTTCTGGTTCTTCTACTGACTGTGTGTGTGTGTGTCTAAGCTTTGACATAGAGCACTCATTTTGGTGAGATTTATGTGCAGAGGAAAAATGCGGTAAGATTTGCTGGTCATTGAAACAGCAGTGCCAACAGCACACACTTTCACAGCGTGCCAGAATAAAGCAAAACACACACTGAAGCCAATACACACACACTTCTCTCCATCTGTCACGCACACACTCAGCCACACACACACATTGGTGTTACCTGTATTAGTCTGAAAACAGTGTTTCTCCTGTAACAGACTTTGCCGCTTGTTTACTGTTGTACGATAAGTGCGCTTTGAATGGTAGCATTGTTTGGGTTCCCCATCTCTTCAGTACCCAACATTCAGACCATTAGAGGAGGCCGGCAGCTGAATGAAATACTTGTCACATATACAGGCCCAATCTCAATTCTTATTTTTTACCCCTGCCCCATGAAGCTATTTGCTAGCTTCATGTTCCAATTTCCCCGTTAAATGGACGGTGGTTATTTTCTGGCACTAACTACTGTTAGCGATTTTTATGCTTATTATCAAGAAAAGTAGCATAATACACTGAAATGACATTAAACTAAGATAATACAATGGTCATCATAATTTTTTAACGGAGCCAGTTTTTCTTTTTTTCTCATAACCCTCCGTTTGGAATGTGCCTCTGAAATACCTCTGTTTGGAGGGCCATGTAGGCCAAACAATTTGCCTTAACAAAAATCGGGACACCCTACCCCTAAGCATAAATGCGCAGAACGGAGGGCTAAGGGCTAAGTGGTAGGTGCACGGGGTGAAATGGGATTGGGCCACAGTCATTCAGGTGCCCCTGGACAAAGAACATGTTTAGTTGATTTTCTGAGTGAAAATTCGTTTAACGCGTCCTCTACAGAGAACACACTTCTGCACGTTTTAATGCACAATTACTGTTTTCTTGCTGAATTTAACAAAAATAAAACATGTGGCCTGTGCAAACCTTATGGCACATTTGATGTTTAATGTTTTATGTTTTATTTATCATTAAAATACATAGAAATTGTGCACATCATTTGCTGAAAGTTCACATATTTAAGTTTGTTCGCTGCAGACGGTGTGTTAACTTATTTTTCACTCCGAAAATCAACAAAATGTAATTTGACAAGGAATATTTTGCGTAGGACTGTATATATTTACACATATAGAATGACCAGAACACTGTTTGCTTCTGTTTATTGAAGTAAATTGTTTTACTTTATATGAAACTGGATTCAACATATTTTATCTTCTCTTTCTGTCATTTAGAGTAAGAAACAGAGCCTGAAGGATACATAGTATCAGTACTGTGCAAATGTCAGAAACCACCCTTCATGTATTTAATATTCAGGACAAAAAATTACACAGAAGCCTCAACAGCTAAATATATCAGTTTTTTAGTATTTAGTGTGTTCACGCTTTGCCTTGATTACAGCTTCCATTGGTTTTGGGAGACATGCTTTCAGTTTTTGAAGAAATCTGCAGAGGTGTTTTTCCACACTTACAAGTTATATTTGGATAGTTAGTTATATTTTCTGCTTCTTATGATTCATGTAATCCCAAGCACATTCAGTGATGTTGAGGTCTGGACTTTGGGGTGGTCAGTCCATTGTTCTGAGAACACCAGAAGCTTCTTTGTTTGTTTTGCAGTTTTTCTTCTTTTTTGTCTATTTCCTTTTCTCAGTAAGAGCTTATTGACAGCTACACATCCTTTCAGACCGATATTGTCAAGTTGTCTTCTCACAGTTGAAGCATTGATAGAATAGATCGCCATGTATAGCTGTTCAAATGTTTTTGTTGCATTCTCAATGAAAAGAAGCTCATTTAGCCATGTGTCCTGGTTAGGGCCTAATGATTCAGCCATCAGTTGTGTCAGCCTGCCCTGTGACTCAGACTTGAGCTCCTCTAGTATATATGAAGTGTCTGCATACTGGAGAGTCCCAAGCCCAGTGATTCAAGACTGCTGCATTTAACCCATACTCACATTACTGTCATTTAGTAGCTGATTTATCAAAAGTGTCTTAAATGTAATGTACACGCCGCGGTATGTGGGTCCCTGGAGCACCCCTCAAACCACTTGGGGTGAAATTCCACACTCATAGGCTAATCCTTTTCTAAAGTTTTGACCAGTAGTCCTTAGTTTACTGGCCTGGAGCCCACAACCACTGAGTCACTGCGGCAGGTTGTGGGTTATATAGTAATGTCAGGAGCAAAACAAATGTCCATTGCCTTTTAGCATGTATGTACGTTGTTAGGTGAGTCATGCTTCAAATATAGCATGGCCAGTTGCTGGCTTTGTTTTTTTTTTTTTACTTCATTGAAGCTGGAGGTTCATCTTCTTAAAGGCGACATTATGGAAATTATTTCTTGCTTTTTTGAAATTACCATTCACTCCCCAGTCCATGCAGTCCATATATGGAAACAAGCTGCAAATATCATCTTGTTTTGAATTCACTGTGTTTGTCACATTTATATGCAATATGCAAAAGTAATGGCACCCCAATCAAATGACACATTTTGGGGATTTTCTAAGTGAAAATAAGTTAACGCATGCTCTACAAAGAACACACTTCTGCACATTTGAATGCAATATTGATGTTTTTTTTAGCTGAATTTAATATAATAGGAAATAAATAAAACATAAAATGTTTGTATAGACATTATGGCCCACTTAATATTTTATGTTATATTTTTTAATATGCAAATTTTTAATTTAATGTAATTTGACTCTGGGTGTTCAAACTTTTGCATAGGACCGTATGACCACCCATTCAGCCTATAATAGTTTGTTTCCCTACCATTCACTGCATGTTCTTTGCATAACCTTCCAAAAGGATCCAGGCATCAGAAAGGAATGGCTAAAGTTTATTTTTTCCCGCATCCCTGAGGATTTCAGTCTGAACGTAACAGTTTGTTCCGCACATTTCATCCTGGACTGTTTTTTGGACAAGGCATAGTATGGGTCAGCCAATCACAACAGTGTTCGTTTACATTTAACAGTCATAAAAGTCACAGAACCAGCCTGATTAATTCTTGGGAGTGAAGAGTGGTTAGAAAATGATCATGTAAGAATGAATTGCAGCTATTTTTTGTGATGTAAAAACTTTGAAGAAAAAAAATAGAAGCTAAATGAAAATATGGCCCTGACATAACAACCTGTGTGTGTGTTTGTGTGCGTGTGTGTAGGACGTCATCCCTGCCCCCGCTGGACTGGCCCTTACCGAGCCAGTACGGTCAGTTTGAGCTGAAAATCGAGGTCCACCCTAAAGCCCACCACCGAGCACACTACGAGACTGAGGGCAGCAGAGGAGCCGTGAAAGCAGCCTCCGGTGGACACCCCATCGTCAAGGTGAGTCTCCACGGCAACCGGCCACCTGCCGACAGTGATGTCAGCGCACCTGAGTGTCTTGTTACCTGCCTGCTGAGGGTGAGTTTGTTTTGTTAGCCTCGTTCCATGTTGTGGTTATACAGGGAGCAGAGGCTGTGCTTTTGATATGTGATACTGCTCCAGTGCACCCCTAATATTTCAGTACACGTTAGATGGACGCTGGAAGCAGAACGTGAGCGTGTTCTGTGTGGCGTGATTCATCTTTAAACAGACGAATCTGTGCCGCGCTGAAGACTTTGATTGAGTCAACACAGCCACTATAGAATTAGAATGGGTAAAGGCATTTCTATGCAAAGCAGTACAAAAGATTTGTATAGATTTGTTTAGATGGATCATCTGCCATTTGGAGTGTACCATCTGGAATGCAACTAGGTGAAGAACCTCTGCAGCGTCATATTTAATCATATTTAGCTGATGACATGTTGGTTATAAATCGAGTTTTCCAGCAAATCTTTAAAAAGTCTATAAAAAATATTTTAGGGTCACACAATGTCTGAAAATGTCTTATTTATATTTGTTAAAGGTATTAAATTTAGGGATATCCCATCCAGGCATGTTTTAATCGATCAGGTATTGTCTAAAATCTGATCCAAGTCCGATTATCTGTTTCTGTTTTGCTCCGCCATCACAGAGGTGCCATAAACAGATATTGTTTACAACCTACAGCAGTGAGGCACATTTTCACTAGGTAAAGTGGTCTAAATACCTTCAATGTGGAACTATACTTTATGGCCAAAAGTGCAAACAAGGACACCTGAGCATCACACTTACTAGCTTGTGGCTTTAACAGCCTCCACTCTTCCTGGAAGACTTACCTAAGGAATATATATATTTGGAGTGTGTCTTCTGCAATTTGTTCAGTCAAAAGAGCATTTGTGAGGTTAGGTGCTGATGTCAGACGAGACGGCCTGGCTTTCGATCAGTGTTCCAAATCATTGCAGAGGTGTTCAGTGGGGTCGAGGTCAGGCTCTGTGCAGGACACTGAAGTTCATCCAGACAAACTTGTCAAACTATGTCTTTATGGAGTTTCACAAAAATGGCACTTACAGTTGACCGGGGCAGATCCAGCATGCAGAAGTTTCACGCCCTGACACTCTTTCAGTACGACCTCTTCTGCTGCCCGTGTTTGTCTGTGGAGATAGCACTGGTTATGTGCATGATTTGATACACCTTTTAGGAATGAGCGTGGCTGAAACTCCAGAACTAAGTAATTTCGAGGGGTATCCACATACTTTCTACATACATGACCATGTATTGTATTTTAGGGTGGAAAATGTAAATGTAATCCAATGTAATAACTGCAGTTTCTACTGTGTTTAGCCTTTCATCTAGTCTAATTTAATTACGATACTACATGATGAAAGTTTCTGTAGTCTGGACACGTTTATAAAATTTTAGCTGACAATTAATTAATTGCTGACAGATAAATAAGTGTGATTAACATTTTATCTTTTTGTTGATTGTATGCAGCTATTTAACTTCAAGAGTAGCCATGTATGTTCATGAGCTATGTTGCTTTGTAGCTTTTAACGGACGGCAGACACGACTTCTGTTCAGTTAAACAAACGTTACTCTCTATTGGCCTCTAAAGGTGTTATACCACTAATTAGAAGTTAGACTAGTGACGTATCTCCTTTAATATGTTTTCTGCTTTCTTTTATTTACATGTATTTGCCTCAACCAACAGGATAAAATGCACACAAGTCACTGTTTGTTGTGGTGAAACCATATGGCTGTGAAATCTTAACAACTGTGTAAAATCGTTGTGGTCAGCTCAAATAATTCAGGGTAATATTTCTCATAAAGTTCCTCTGGGTGTCTTCCTGCATTGCTGGCTACATTAGTTCGACCAACACTGAAATGTATCAAAGTGACAATTTATTTTGAGCTTAGCTAAAAAATAATACGTTTCTGTACTACTCAGTTGATTGAATCTCCCATTTGGAGCACAACAGTATGTCTTGTTTCACTTTTAACTCTTGTTTACTCAGTCAGATGCGCTTTTTTAAACCTTATGGAGTGTACATTACAGGTACAAGTATGTGAGCTGACCTGTAGAAATGGTGGCCACACTGATGTAAAATGAGGACCAATTAGTATCCTGCTGTGCCATATGATACTGCTGATCAGATAGGTATGCTTACCTCGGAGCTCTCTCACTAAAGAACCCTCATAGCGAGAGAAGGGGGAGATACAGAGAGACTCCAAGGCAGCTTGGAACCTGACAACTAGTGGTTGAATATTTCATGGACTTCAGGGTGTTGGTTCTTTTTGTTTCGACCGTACTAGAGCAAGAACACCCAGTCCTAACCAGCACAAAGGCACCATATGACAGCACAGGGTCAGATGGATTAAAGGGAAAAGTCCTAAGGTTGTGTCGTTATAACAAATAAAACACACTTGATATGTATAGATGCAGTAAAGGTGAAGAACAGAAGACCATCCAGTTCTTTCTGATAACGCAAGAAACACAATTACAGACAGACTTTGTTTAACACTGAAACTGACCTCTCATCAGATCACAGACACATGCAGCCTTTTGTCTGCTGTGTAATTAATTCATCCTAATTCTGGGTTTTTATGACCTACTTTACGCTTCGCGCTGGCTTCTGGCTTCCCACATTACACATCTTCTGAGCTACATGTGAGGTATAAGGTTTATCTTCACTACCTTCAGGCAAGTCTCCTTAAAAGAATGAAAGCTATAGTAAAGGCAAAGAGTAGGCACACTAAATACTGCAGAAATTGATATAGAATTTAGTTGTTGAGCCTTCTGGATAGTTTTATGTTAAATATATGTCTTCTGATTTTTCTCTGATGTTGAAAAATGAATAACTAAAATGGCATTTTGACTGAAAATTGTAAATTGAATCAATGAAGAGTGGTCTCTGACTTTACTGCACAGTACTGCACAGTACTGTATGCTTTTTCAAGTTTTCTCCCCAATATTTTGGAGTATTTGAGCAGTTATCTATGAACTGTTGTCCGTTTTTTTGTTTACCTCTTTTAAATCCCTCTTTACTTCATTAATATTCAGAATGATCGTTAGATTACTCGATTACTAGTATAATTAGTAGCAACAATCCTGTTTCGTATTACACTGCTCTTCAAAAGTCAGTAGTGGAAGCACTGTTTTCCATAATATTAAACGATTTTGTTGCATTAACATGCACAATGTTATGTTCCATAAGTTCTTCATAGAAATTGCGCGTATGCCGAAAACGATTAACAGAGCTGTTTCCATAATGACTGAGCACGCCGTATATCATGGAGAATGAAATTCTAAAATAATATAAACAAAAATAGAAACATTATAAAAAAAATAAATAAATAAATATCCAGAATGCAACCCTGTCTAATGGGTTGTCTAATGTATAGCAGGTGATACAGTATAATAGGCGATGTGGCAAAATACTTCAAAACATCTGAGGTCTGTTAAGTCGAAACAGAAAGAGGAGCCACTATTGTCTTATTTAAAACATGCTATGAAAAACTAAGAATACAATATTTTTTATTCAGTGAAATAAATCCAGTTACCCAAGACTAAATGTTATTTATGTAATCAGACATGATCAGATCAGAGTTCTTTATGTACCGTCGATATCCACTAATGTAATGTGATGTCGTTTATCATGATAACAATAAATATTGTCATACTGTCCGGCCCTGATGTCAGTCTGCATTGTTTATTGTTGAATAATGTAGCAGCAAACTTTGGAACAGTAGTGTATATCCTAAAACTAATCAAATCTCCTTTTCATTTTTTAAAATTCTTTTTATATTATATCCTTAAGCTAATCAGATCTGATCCACTCTGGTATTCATCTTGAGCTAATGTAATTTAAAGCACAGTCTAAGGATATGTGCTTTGCTTTAACTTTATGTAAAGCATATGGTCTCTTTCACATAACTGCAGCCCAAATGTAACCCATGGATTCACTACAGCTGTGTATACTGGTGCACTCCACACGTTTGCGTATGGCCATCTCAATTTGCCAGTATCACACCAACTGATATGGGCATGCGGGTGTGACTGTGTTTGTTTATGTGTGTATGAATGTGTGTTCAGTCCGTGAAAGTTGGGTGCATGTGTGTTTACTAAACACTCATGTGCATGCTGTCTCTGCTCCCCTGTGCTTCGTTTGCCCACCTCTTCTACCAGCTTGCTCTGTTTGTCTGGCCGCAGAGCTGATTCAGTGTTATTATAAAAACAGCAATACGTCGATCACGTCCAGGATAAACAGGCCCTCGCGGCAGGAGCTGGTTGGATATGTGCTGATTTGCTGTTAGTCATCTACGTGGTGCAGCAGCAGTGGGAAATCGATGCCATTACCTTGAACCGATGCTGAAATTGAGTTGGAATTGCACAGAGATACAGCAGAGTCCCAAGCTGCGTGTCCTGGGCCACTCCAGAGGGGTATTTGGGGCCGTGATGCCGTCATATGACATCACTGCTTCCATCTGTATCACTTTTACACATATAAGCAGCAGCAATGTGAGGACCATTCTAACAGAAATGCAGCCTACTCTGTGGCATTGCTTAAAGGATTAGTTTGGAAAAAGGAAAAAAAAAAACAAACTTGTATAATTTTTCTTTACTCAAAATGGACTTGATTAGCCAAGACATTCCTCTGTTTTGCTGTCCAAAGATTGCTTCTCTTGCACTGAACTATAAGAAAAAAGTATAGACAAAATATAGACTCCATAGATTCCTGCTTCTTCTGTTTTTAGCAGTGTGTTGACCCCTTTTAATTTACAAAACTGAAATTTCCCGATTTCTTAAGAACACACCCACCACAGTCACCTTTGGCAGCAGTTACAGCTGGGTAGCTCTCCGCAAGGCTGGCTTCCCTCACTCCGCTTTGCAGAACTGTTCAAGCTGGGAGAAATTAGTTGATTTTCATCGTCGACTGGAACTTTCAGATTTTTCCATAGATTTTCAATTGGATTTAGGTTAGAAC